CACTACACCCCCCCACCCACCCCCCTTTTTTTTTTTTTTTTTTTTTATCATCACCATTTAGTATCCAGGCAGAGTTTATGTGATTCCAAATACTGCTGAAATGCTGCTGAATTTTTGCTCGTGTTTGTGGTTATCTCTGTGGGTTAGGTAAAACAGTATTTGAGGGGCCAGCAGGTGGCATAGTGGTTAAGGCACTGGACTCTGACATGACTGACCACAGTTCAAGTCCCTGACGTGCTGGCTTGGAAAATCACGCTGAGCACATGTGCTCCCAAACCCCCAGGAGGAGAATAGAGGGGAGGGGATTGTGATGTGGCCGCCCCCCCACACACACACACACACAATGCCGTGCTCCTGGCGGGTGATTTCTCACTTACCCAAGTCATTTCTCTCTTTAGTGAAGCCACATGCCAGATGGGAAAAAGCTTAAAGAAGAAAAAAGGTGAAGCTAAGCTAAGGCCAGCATGTGGCCTAGTGGTTAAGGTATTAGACTCCCACATGACGGACCACAGTTCAAGTCCTGGACCTGGTAGCTTAAAAATGATATTGGGTGTGTGTGTGTGTGTGCGTGCGTGCCCAAAATCCCAGGAGGAGAATGGAATGGAGGAGAAGGGATTGCGGCATGGCCATCCCCCCTGGGGGCTGATTTCTCGCTTTCTGTCTCTCTGTTTCTCTCTGTCTGTCTGGTGAGTGCATGCACCCTGTAGCAAAAACATCTCCAAAAAAATAAAAAATATATGTATATCAGGCTTAGAATCCCAGTCATTCTGGAGCCAGCAAGTGGCATGGTGATTCAGGTGCTAGATTCCCACATGGCCAGCCTCAGTTCGAGTCCCACACCTGGCAGTTTGAGAATTTCACCAGCGTTTGGGTTGTGCATGCCCAAGATCCGGAGTGGAGAATGGAGGGGAGGGGATTGCAGCTCGGCCATGCCCCCGGGGGTGATTTCTCACTTTCCCTGTCACTTTTTCTCTTAGGCAAGCACGTGTGCCCTAAGGGGGGAAAAAGGGAAAAGAAAAGGAAGTATTCCGAAGTCTTACTTGGTTGTGTGACCTTAAGCAGCTCACCGGAATCTTGGATACTATGCTCTTCTGTCAAGTGAAGCTAAAATATGCACCAGCCCACATCCTAGGGTTGTGAAAAGGATCAAATGAAACCTCTTGTGACAGTATCTAGGACATTTTGTTTTAGCTCATCTGTCCTTTGAATGCAGTCTCTTTTTTTTTTTTTTATTTTAAGAGATTTTTGCTGCCGGGTCCTGGATCCAAACTGCAGTTGGCCTCGTGGGACTCCAGAGACGTAACCGCTACACCATCCGCTGGCCCGGGTATAAAGTCTATAGATGGAACTTCCGAGAGTCCTAAACAATTCTTTGCAAAACCCAAAAGTCCTCCTTCAAGATTGTGCTTTGGGACCAGCCAGTGGCATAATGGTTACATCACTGGACTCCCCATAGTCGACCGCGGTTCGAGTCCCGGACCTGGTGGCTTAAACTCACACTGGGCACGTGTGCGTGCGTGCCCAAGATCCCGAGAGGAGAATGGGGGAGAAGGGGTTGCAGCGTGGCCATCCCCCCTGGGGGGTGATTTCTCGCTTTCTCTCTTTCTCTTTCTCTGGTGAGTACACGTGCCCCATAGCAAAAATCTCTCTTAAGGAGCTGGCAGGTGGACTGGTGATTGAAGACACTGGACTCTTACATGGCTGACCATAGTTTGAGTCCTGGATCTGGCACTCTCTGGTCAAATTTAAATAGATAAATAGATTAGATCGATAGATAGATAGACAAATGGGTAAATAAATGGATGAATGAACAGATTAGTAAATTTAAATGAGATCATTCTTAAAAAAAAAAAAAACTTTCTTAGAAAAAAAAAAAAAAAGATTGTGGCTCTATAACTTCCTAACATTTTCTTTTCTGTCCCTTTTTAGGACAGCCCAGGAACTTACAGGACCTGTGCCGAATTCAAATCCGACAATGTATAGGCCTTCAGAACCTAAAGTTACTTGACGAACTACCAATTGCCAAGGTCATGAAAGACTACTTAAAACACAAATTCGATGACATCTGATACTGCAGAACTTTGAGCGAGGAGGAGGAGTCCTCTCCCAGATACTGAAAAGGCTTCTCTGCCTTGCACAAAGTATACCCCTATGCAATTTCTGATTTTGCCGTGAAGTCAGAAAGCAGGTATACACTTTTCGTTGTTTTTTTTTTTTCGTTCGTTTGTTTGGTTTTCATTGTAGGGGAGGGATGTAGATATATTTATATAAATATATCAAGGTGTATATATTTATATAACTATATCAAAGCACACACCACCACATTCTCGATGGGTCTTAATTTGGTTTCTCGGTCCAACTTTCAGAGGTCCAGGCTTTGTATTCAACACCACAGTTAGAGACACGGTTTTCCTAACACGACACAAGCGGGTTTGGAGTGCAGAGTGTACCGTTTCTAAGCGGACGGAATCGCATTTTCATTGGCAAGCCACGGGGTCAGAAACCAACAGAGCACTTGTTAAAGATGCAAATCATAATTGTACCCAGGGGGAGGTGAGGTCCTGGGTTATACTGGAAAATGCCCTCAGAACCTTCTTTTTTTTTTTTTTTTTTTTTTTTTTTTAAGTCATGCTGTCACCTCCTTCATTTTAAATGAGTACAGATTGGCCGTTTCAAACTGTTCTTTCTCCTAATTAATATAGCTTTGGGATGACATCAATCCAGGACCTCTGCTTTTCTTCTGGTGTGCTCCTGTTTTAAATTTATTTTTCTAAACCAACTCTCGTACACTACCACGAGATGGTGCGTCTCCACCTCTGTCTCTCATGGCACTGTGCTATTCAAAAAAAAAAAAAAAAAAAATGAACGGGAAAGAAAAGAACTTTATAAAGCCAGTGTATTCTGTTTTGTTTTGTTTTGTTTTTTTTTTAATGGTGCCTCTGGTGCAATACTCTTTGTTTTTTTCCTTTTTTTTCCCTCCCCCTGTCGTATCTCATGCATTATCTCCCTTGGCGTTTACCATCCTGCAGCCGGCTTTGACATGCCCGTAAGGACAAGAATCACTGCTTTCGTTCTCATGCCTGAACCACAGTAGGTTAGTCGTGGTCCCCACTTGTAAGCTCTGTCTTTTGCCTTCCTTTGAAGCAGCACGTTTCATATGCTGGTTGGAGAACGTTCCTTCAAAACAACCCCAGATAGCGTTAACCCGTTTGTCTCGAATGGTTAAATAATTTGGTGTGGTTTCATGGTGGTTTTTTTTTTTTTTTCTTTTCTTTTCTTTCCTTTTCTTTTTTAATTCCCACTTTGAAAAAAAGAAAAAAAAAAAAACACAAAAAAATAATAATAAGTGTTAAGATCTCTAATGGGTGCTCATGTGTAGGTCTGGCTCTTTCCTAATGAAACATTTCCCCGTCCGTGTTAAGGTAATATGGTTTTTTATATACAGCTCTTTCAGGGCAGGTATTTTGCTTGGAGAGTTGATAGGGCAAGTGTTTGCAGTGGGGACACAGATGCGATAAAGCGTCAGGAAGACCGGCCAGAAGATTCCAGAGACATTAGGGCACCTGGGGGAGGAGGGTGATGCACTCGGACATGGGTCGTCATGCAAGATTCAGAGGAAACTTCTCCAGCGTCCCAGGATCGGTGTTAATCCTCTGGGATACTTCAGAGTATCTCGCACGCCATTCCTAAGTTCGTTATCAGAAGTTTACAAGATGGAGGGTCTCTCTTTCCTTGTCTGCATCTGCAGCTTTAAGTCCTAAAGTGCAAAGCAGTTTCACCCAGACGTAGAACCAAGCCCAGGGAGGAGTCTACACTGGCCCTCCCTCACGCAGACCCAGCCGTGCTGTTCTCTCCAGCATGGTGTTCATGGCTGGGAGACAGAAGAGCCGTGGCAGCAGATAGGGTCTGATCTCACTGGGTCCAGCCAGAGCCAGGGTGTCCGAGGAGTATTTGGGGCGGAGGGGGATGGCCGAGATGGTCCACAGACTCTGGCAGGCAGTTTAATAACCGTCCCCAAACTCTAGCTGGGCCTGCTGAGTGGAAGTGAGCAGTCTCTCCTTTTCCCTAGAACACACCATCGTCAGAAGGAGAGAGTTCCTTGTGAAGATTGTTGCTAAGCTGTATTCTCATTCTTTAAACCCATACCCAGGTCAGGGCCAAGACACGTTACCCACGTTAGGGACCCGACAGGACCACACACAAACTGAGTTTTACTTCTCCCTAAATACCCCAGACCCACGTTGATGTGAGGCAAGAGGTCCACACTCAGCGGTGAGGTCAGTGTGACGTTTGCACAGGGCTAATTTCCACATATGTGTGTATTAATTTATTCACTTAGTTTAAAATGATTTTTTTTTTTTTTTTTTTTTTTTCCCCCAGGGATTCAAAGGTTTCCAAACCCAGT